GAACTTGGTGTCCCCATGTCTGGTTGGTGCAAAGCTTGCCTGTTTTTTCCAACTGTATCATTTGGCTTAATAAAAGATATTGCCTCTCCCTACAAATCTTGTTGCTCTTGCACAATATGGCTGCACAGATAATGGCAGTTGTTTATATCCTCACAAATTAATGTGACTTTAATGGCTACCTCTCAGACTTCAAAAGAGAAAGTAGGAATCAAAGTCATGAGGATTGTCAATTTTTATTACGCTACCTCCTTGCACACAGAGAAAGCTCCGAAGGTTAAAAAGTGCCACGACGAACCTTCCCCCCGTATGTAAATGTGAAGTCCTGACACCACAAAAATCAGTGGCCAGGCAGTTTCCCCTCCAAGAGCACTATGATCTGAGTCACTTAATTTCAGAAGCTGTCCCTGCTTTATCCAGCAATGCGGGCGGCCCCGGCCCCCACGTGTACCGCAGCAGCTGACGAGTCTGACCGTAGCTGAGGTCAGTGCATCGCTCCTCAACCAGAAAGCAGCAATGAGCCCAAGTCACCGCCCCTGGGAAGGACAGAGTTAATTATACCATGCTAAATGTTCAGGTCTACAGAGCCCTTCATTTTATTTCATCCCCCCTCCCTTTTTTTTTTTGTTTAATCAGTTAGATTTTTTTTAAAAGACAAAAGGAAGGCACCATGTGAAAACATCACTATGGAAACATCACGGGCTCACTTGTACTTGCCTGCCAAGCAACTACCTAACTGAAGTTTTACATCCTATTGGATCACTGTTGGCCATCTGCTCTCCTTCAAACTTCTCTGAATTCCTTATTTCCCTGAAAAGTTCATTTTTAGAAAAGAGGGAGGAGGTGCAAGGGGAGAATCCGGCATTCTTGGCTAGCGCAGAGCTATTGTGAAAAAGGAAGATAAACTCACTTTGGGGCAGCCCCTTAAAAAGACAAAAATCCATGTTTTGCAAAGTAGTTTCATAGAAAATACCCCATTTCTAGATGCACCTTAATGATAAGAGCGTATCTTGGCAGCCACAAGGCAAAACAAATAAACAGCTGCTTCTAGTACTCACAGTAATTGTCTTCCTCTCCCCTCCTCTCATTTAGTGTCAAATGTATTTTCTTCTAAAATGTAAGTTACTGCCTGCACTGGAGCTGTTGGCTGCAGGCTCCCTAGCCTTGCTCCAAATCAAACACAGAAATAGATTTCCTGCCAAGCACCGGGGAAGTTTGAAGAGTTTAGTTTTTAAAAATGCAATCTTTTTATCAGTGCCCTAAGCCTGCCAAAGGTAATTATGGGCCATGGCGCATTTACATTAATGCATAGGACCTACAGACATTTCAAAAGCTTAATGGAGAAACTCAATAAACATACATATCGAAAAATAAATTAATTAAACTGTCATGTAAAGATATCACTTAATTTCGCAGAGCGGAAGGCGCTCTTAATGGGAATGGAATGGATCAGTGAGCATTTCAAAACCCAAAGCTATAATTTAAATTCCGGCTCTCCCCTAGTGTGCAAGTCACAAGACAAATTTATTATAGCCTTGGATTGTCGATTGTAATCGGTTTAGCAGAGACAAAGCCGTGTTGTTTTGCTTCCTTGCCCTCCTAGCTGGTTCAATATATTTTGATGTCAGACTATTGACAAGCAAACCAAGGGCTGAAATAAAATCATGTTTGCCCGTGATGAACTGGCAAAAATGCAGTCCAAGGTAAACGTAATGCTGAAGCCGACATATTTATTTATCAAGCAGCAAGGGAAAAAGGGTGATACGAAGCATTTAAACTTCGTTAAATAAACCAGTTGAATATATTTACTGCTGCTCTTGAGGCCTGCTATGTGGCAACATAGACACAAAGAGGTAAAAATAAATAAAAGCACTGTGAAAATGAATAGCATCATTTATAAGCTGCTGCTCTGAGTCTCCCAGGTGGGAGTAACAATTAAAAGTTGTTGCTCTTGATACTCTTTTAGGATAGAGCCAAATCCTGAGACCAAGATCCCCAGCAAGCTGACAGCAGCACTTCTTCCAGGCTGTGCAACGCATCAGCTCTTGGTTCACGGGGTGCCTCTGGCACGGTTTGCTGCAGGATTTTATGTGGTAGCAACAGTTACAAACCAGGCCTGTGCTTCCACTGTCACGAGCAACCATCTCCTCCTCACTGAGGAAGCATTCTAAGAACAGTTCAATTATTCTCGCATTCTTCTTTCTGTAGTCTCCAATTTTCTTTCTTGAGAAGTTCATTTTCAGATCTGAAGCACTGAAACTGGTCAGCTCGCTGGGTTATAACCGTCATGGCTGCCTCCTGCCTTCTTCCAGCCCCTGTGTTGAGCTTAGCCTTGGAGATCGTTCTCTGACCCTGAAGCGCTCAGGTTTGTGAATCCGACTCTAAACAGTGCTGACAAACTCAAAGCTCGTGATTGGGAAGAGGTGCAGCGCCTCAGACAGGGACAGCTGCCGCAGGCACGCCTCCGAGGGCAGCGGCAAGCGGAGGCCCAGAGGACCAGCTTTTTTTTAGCTGCCGCTGCCCTGGCGGGGAGAGAAGGAGATGAGGGGACGACCGTGCATGTTGAGATGTCACCCCGTGGCTCTGATGAGCGCCTTCTCTTCAACCACAAGTTCATTTCTTTCTTTTATAAAAATACCCGTCTATTTGTTCTTCCTCATAGAAATAATAGGATTTTAAGAATGGCCTACATTTTTGCTTTCAGAGTAATCTTTTAGCAGTTTGTTCCCCAAACTAATCATTATACTTAAAAAAAACAATCCAAAAACTCACTCATCCAATGCACCTCTTAATAGTAGACTGGGGTGTTTGCTCACACATTACACTAAATAGTAAACAGAAGCATCTTTTATAACCTTTTTGTAATACAGTAGTTCTTAGCTCACTATGCTATTCCTCTTTCATACCCCTTTTCTAAGATGCACATTATTACCCTTCATCATTCCAGAGAAATTTTTATTTTTGTCACCCTCTTCACACTCCTTTGGCTTTGAGCAGGACTTAAACTGTTCTCTAAGTGACAGGTTACCACTGACTGCTGTTTACATATATTTCTGTTCTACTTTTAAGGACTGCAGAATTGGACATAGCTTTTAAAGTGTGTTTTGTCCTACTACCAGTAATATTTCTACTTATCTACATGGCTCCTACTGTCACACTATCCAAATGCTAACAGCGTTCTTCTTTGAAAGAAGGTGGTGGGAAGGAAAGTGTTCTTAGCCACTCTGCAGAAGAACAGGTGCAGAGAGATTTAGGTCCTGGTGCAAAATAATACGTAGGCTCCAATTCCTACTACTGTCACGGATGTCAGTGACAAGCCAGAAGTCTAACGTCTTTCCTTTAATTTGGACTTTAGTGATTTCAAGGTGAAAAAAAATTATGGTCCAGTTGAGAACAGAATGTATGCATCTGTGTAGATAAAAAGCTATCTTGTATCACCTAATACCATAACCACAGGTGTGACTGTTTCTTTCCAATAAAGCCATTGCAGTCACTAAAAATGGTCTTTTCCTAAATAGCTTCTCCAGCTTAGCTGTCTGGTTCATGAGCCCTCGCAGTTCTGAAGCTGATGAAATCTACGTACGCAGTCATAACTCCTTTTGCTCAAAGAGTGCTGTAATAGTCAGGAGAACGGGCTAGGTCACAGGTGTCAGGCAAAGGAATACCATTTGTAAACTCTGAAAATAGCTCTTGTGGTAAAAACGCTTCTTTCCCATGTCACTTTGTAAACAATAAGTAAATATACAAAATACAAATTCTAAGCTATTAGAGCAATGGTGACAAAGTAATGCTTTTAATGCTCTTTTTAAAAACACTTTTGAAAGTATTTATTTGAAATACCTAAAAGTCTTAATTGTATTCAGTTTTTATAGTCATAGTATTCTAACCACTTTTACATTAAAAAAATAAAAATTAAGGCATTTCCTAAATTTCTGAATATCAGACAAAAAAATTACAAACAGTTTCATGCTGAAGACAAGTATCCACTAAGAGGTATAGCATCAAGATTGAACTGTACTTGTGTTCTTAATTCATTAGTGGAACTGTAAGGCCCTCTTCTGGATTATAAATTACTGCATGGGCAAAGTGCATGGAAATGACAAAGCCAACCAACACTACGAAAAAATAAACATCTTAAAGATATTTTCTTCATACTATTACCAATTTCATTTTCTGGTTTTCACATGCATCTGCCTGCCTCAGTTACTATAATTCAGTAACTTCAGAATAACTTCAACTTCTTAGCAGATCCTTAACAACAAAGCATTTCTTATGCTAATATTCACAAGAGTGGACAGTCTAAAGAGTTGTGCAGTGTTTCTCCACAACTTTGTATGAAGAGGCTGTGCAGCCAAGTGATACTTGCTTACACTTATTAGCCATAAGCATACACAAACTGAGACATGTGATTCTGCATATATATATGTATAGGCAGGTATCTGACTTTCAGAAGTTACATTTGAAAATTTGACTTATGCTAGAGGAGGTGTTTAAAAAAAAAAAAAAGAACCGTTACAATGGTCTTATCACAAATCTTCAAGGACTGTACATTTCCTTAAATGCCTTTTGATTAAATATACACACAAGGAGTGTGAAGGTCTTACAAATGTAACCTTCCAAGTGATTTACCTGGATTTGCCTAAGCAAACATTTACTACTGAAAAGTGAGATGCTGCTCCACAGACAGAAGGAAAGAAAATATTCTAGAATGCGCTGTACAGAAAGGCATCATTTTAATGCATCCATCTGGCTGTAAACAAGTGAACTTGAATCATAAATTTTCCTCTTTCTAAAAAGAGCCACTTATTCTTCTGGTTGGTCACGTACAATAACAAGAAATCACATACATAGAAACACTGGAACAGGTGGTATCCTATTAGTAAAAACTCTGTGCAGATCATTAGACACAGTTTAATTGGACTGCATGTTTTAAAAAAGGAGGACTCTGAAGAAACATTCATGTATCATTTTTTGGTACATTTCTATCTCCTATCAGCGTAGGGCTAACTACGATGGTCCTTTTTCCGTACTTTTGATTTTGGTGCTGCCAAGAAGAAACAGAAAGGGAGAAGAAAAAAAAAAAAAAAATCAGAAGTGAGTTACAGTAATACCAGTGCCAGCATTCTTTCAAATTAGGCTGGGATCAAAATAGATCCATTAACGTGAGACCTACCATTGGGATTTTCTTGTCTGTAGAAAGCTTTTAACAGTTCCACTGCTTCTTTGGCACGATAGCCAGAAATGCACTGTTCAAATTAGAATGATGTTCATGAGCACAACTGAGAATAACACATTCTATGCTTCACAATAATGCCTTAAGTACAGAATAATTGTAAACAACTGTACTGTCTATTCCACTAATTTAACATGGACCTTTAACTATTTGGGAGTCAGAAAACCTCCTTTTCAGGTTGACTACCTAATACATTTGAAAAACACTATATTGAGGTTTAGTATAATTTCCCTCATAACACAAAGTTAGGCAAAACAAACTTTCTTAGTAACTTACATAAAATTTTTATGCAATCTCTGATTTCTTTCTTATTCATGTATTTCCAACTTACTTCGTATACTCTTCAAGCACTTGGAAATGTAAGGAGACATCACCTAGGTATTTGTAGATATGATTCCTACCAGAAAACATCCATCCACACACCTATTCTTTATTCCTAACAGTCACTCTCAGACCTTTTTGGTCCTTCCAAATTATTTTTCTAGGCCATGAACATTAATGACAAAGTGTTTATATGTCAGTAACACTAAATTAATCTCCACCCGCACTAGAAAATAATGTATTTCATCTATACATCCCACTACAGTTGCCTGCAGAAACAAAGGAAGGATTTCTAGTAGCAAGAATCTTCTCCTTCCTTTCTTCTGAACATATAGAAAAATTAAATACCATGTGCCTATTAGCAAATGAACACTCTTCCAGTACTGACTATCCAAATTAATTCAGATGTTAGTTTCACAAACTCCCTGACAGAAAGACGCTTAATAGTTTACACTGGACCGCCAAACAGTATCATCTTGCTGACTGAAATTCTTTCTGAACCTTGAGCCGTTAGTGCTTATTTACAATGCTGAAATAGATTACTTTGTTTTTTACACTTATTAAATCATATATGTTAAATGTGGAAAAGTACTCTAAGAACCTAATCAGTATCCTTGTATAAAGGCAGAATCATCTACAACTATGTAATGTAATAAATGCTACAAATACCCTCTATCTATACGCATGTATAGGTATATAGGTATACTAGTACAATGCTGTAAAACATCTAGATTTATGTATACTATACCTCCACTGAATGCTTATCCAGCTTTTCTTAAATGACAAAGATGCCTCATTCTCCCCAGACACTGTTCCAGTCCTTCAGTATGCTTATTTTTCAGAAAGTTTCCCAATATCTAAACTAAATCTCCTCTGTTACTTTTGCAGTCCATATTTATTTTGGGATTTGAACTATATGAAGTAGGTCTAAGCTAATGCATTTTACCTCATATATTGAAAGACTGGGAGCAAAAATACAATCATTTCCAGTGGCTCAGCTAAAACCCAGTAACTTAGTAAGTTGCTGTTACTTGATCTTTATTGATAATGTGTTTGTACATTTTGCAGTTTAATTTTTCCCTCATCTCTTCCTGCAGCATACGCTTACTGTTCTAAGTATTACACATCTTTTAGATATATTTATTCCTTACCTTGTTCCACGACTATAATTCTTTCCTTTGCTCTTTGATGCATCCTTTTAAATATGTTAAGACTGTTATCAGGCTTTTTCTCAATTTTCTCTAATTTAAGGGCTTAATTTTTTTACATTATATTCCCGTAAAGTCAAATTTACTTGACGTCTGATCATCTTTCAACTGAGTTCTCAAACTGATGCGTAACATCCTCAAAGCAAGGTAACAAAGCTAGGCACAGTACCCTAGCTGAAAAACAAGAGAAAACATTTTATAGCTTACTTCAAATGGTTCTCCTGTGTCTACCATATCATCAGATGAGATGCTCAAAACTGAGCCACAGCCTCCAAATCGTTCATTTCGACAGCCATATACGACCCGTGGAATTTATGTGAATAAGTTAAGGTATTAAGTTAAAGTGAAAAGCAAGCAGGAAGTAAAGTAGCCTGATTTGAGTAGTCATTAAATGTCACTAAAACATGCTTGTACTTTTCAAACTAAATTAGCTTGCACTACAAATCCTCCCTCATAAAATCAGAACTTACTTCTGAGTAATGTAAGATGCATTGCTGAAGATGCACATCCAGCCTTCCTCAGAAAAGGAGAAGCATGAATCCCAAAGCAGAGGCACACAAAGCCATGGGTTACCAATTGTTACAACATTCAGAACTGAACACTGAACTGAGATCAGCTCATTTTACATAATCAGCTATCTCTAAAATGTATTTTTACATCCCTAAGGTAAATCTTTGTTTGTCATAATTGCACCATTACTCTCTCATGCTCAAGTCTCTCACTATTTACCATGCTCTAAATGGAGCTGGGTGCAGCCTCTCAAACCGTAAGAAGGTTCCCCCGCTGGCTTTGCCTGACAGCCTCAGGCCCTTCTCTGTGGGCTTACTGCCCAAAGAGCAACATCTTGTCATCTGGTTTCCCAGCATGAATAAGCATGAAAGGATACTCATCAAGCGCACGGCCGCTGCACACATGATACAAGGCTCTACAGTTACGTACAATATTGAGTGTGCAAACACTTCTGTATAATCTGTGTTATGTTGCTTGCACCAGTCAAGGACCTGATCGATTGCGACCATTTCTGCATGTCGAGTAGCCTAGGAGATAAAAATAAACGTTTTTTTAAAGTTTGCATTGATTCACGCCTTCAAGCTTCTCACTTGTACAGATACAAATGAAATAAAATGCAGCATCATAAAATCATTCTTTCAAGTCAAAAGTACAATGGCTTGATATCTAATTTATTAATAATGCAATTATTTTCACTTCTGTTAAAGAAGTAACGTAACGCTTTCTTGCGAAGTCTCCTTTTAGTACACCCTTCTGCTGGTTCAAGTTGCAGAAGAAATTTCACAGCGATAGGTATGGCACAAAAACCTGAACAGAAAAGAAGTGTTGACTTTAACTGCAGAGAGACAAAAACAATCTGTAACGTCCCAGTATCGCTCTGGAATGTCTGCAGCAGTGCGTTTCGCCAATCAAATGTCACAGCAAAAATATCACAAACTACTAGCTATGAAAGGACTCTCCAGTTACAAAGCCTGATGCTTATTTGAGTTACAGCTGCTAATATTTTCCTTCTTTTCAATCCATGCTGAAAAAAGGATGGGTTTGACACAGGCATTAGACTAAGACTTCATCAATCCAAACTATACTTCTACCTCTGCTACATGTGTCTCTGTGTGACTTTAGGTAACTTTCTCTCAATACATGAACTTGGGTTAATGTTTTAGCACTCTGAAGATCTGTGGTGATACCTGTGAGATGCTCTACATGGCAAAGGACTCATATAAAAAAAAGTCAGTGGTAAGTTTAATACCGTTTGAAAATGTTTTAAAACTCTTAGAGATCTATGTTGCCTATGCTGACATTAGCAAATAGGGCAGTGCAAGAGGAGCGTATCTGTAGAGCACAACAGTGCTGAGGACTCAACACCAATTTGTGTGGGCAGTTCGCACTGGCCCAGCTCCAGTTTAGTCCCATGGACAGTACGTTCCCAGCAGCAGCTGGGGTGCATTAGGTATGCTCCCTGAGTGCATCTTTTCCGTATAGTTTCATCTGAAAGGAAGACCGTCTGCCATCTCTGAGACACAAACCAAAGCATGGTAAGCATGTTGCCATGAAGGTTCCCTACCTGAATAAATGACATCATAACAGCTAAAGTCTCAGTGCACACACCTGATGGAGACACAAAGCACAAGGCCCTCCAGCAGAATGGTGCCTCAGAACTACTACAGCTACCACAACTCAAAAGTGCAAGATGTGGCTATTCTAGTTTTGTGCCCCTCAGATCAGAAGAGACGTGGATACCATATTGGCTTTTTGACTCCTGAACACAAACTGAAAGCATATAAGCAATAAACCATCATTACCAGAGGAAAACATGCCTATAACCTATGACACTGCTCTATACTGAGTACACAGAGCAACTTCTAGGCCTCTGCTGAGCTTGGGAGTACAAGTTCAGAAAAGCCATGCAGCTGCTCTAAGTCATACTGGCTTCTGCAGTAATAGAAGACAGCTACACAAGAGAGATTACACTAATACAGAGTATTACTAGATCCCAGTGCATCCACTTCTTAAGTAATACATAGTGGTTTGATCATCTCACCTCGTGAAGACATGGGAACATCAGGACAAATTCACCACAGGGTGAGAAAGTATTATCCAAGTTACAGAACAGTCTCCATATAGAGACTACCTAGACTACGGCTCCTAATTCACCAGATACAGTCATTAGTTTTCTAAGTCAAGATGATGGCAGAGGTTTATTAAAAAAAAAAAAAAATCAAGAAAAATGTGGAAAAGCAAACACTAAAGAGTGATTTATTATTTCTCATAACAAGCGGGCACCCAATGAAATTAGCAGGCAGCAGATTTAAAACAAACAAAAGGAAGTACTCTTTCACAAAGCACATAATTGAATTGTGGAACTCATTGCCACAGGATGCTATGGAAGCCAAAACCATAAATGAGTTCAAAAAAGGTTTAGACAAATTCATGGAGGATATGTGCACAGACAGCTATCAGAAACAGCGATCCAGATACAGTCTTGTGCTCCGGCAGTCCCTAAGCTATTCACTTACAGAAGTGGAAAGGAAATGCAAGGGGAAGGTTTACATTACTCTCTCCTTGTTTCTCGAGCTCCTTCCTTAAGCATCTGCTAAAGGTCCCTCTTAAAGACAAGACATGGGGGAAAAACTGACCTTCTGGCTCTATCCTAAGATTTTATTTTGTATTGTGCTATGACTAGATGGTCTTTTTTATTGACTTGCTGTGTGTAAAATAACATACAAAAAAGATGTTTTTCATTTTGAGTCACTGACTCAATTCATAAGCTTCTATAAGCCCCTACTGTTTTTAACTTGCCCAATCTTATATGTTATTTTAAAGCCAAGAAAACAAAAGCAGGTGAGAGTAGCAATGGAAAAAGAGAATTTTTAGAGAATGACAAATGATGTTTCAAGGAGAAATTATTTGAAGCTGATGTCAGTGGGGAAAAGGCCTTGACAAAGCCTTAAAATAGTGCCCCAAACTGTGGCAAATGTTTCATAGACAAATAAAGAGATCATCCCTGCTCTGAAAAGCTTACCTTGATAATTCTCGTCTAAGATTTAGAACTGTTAAGAGTGCAAACAATACTTAATTTTCAGCTATCACGTGCAAATGATTGCATCACACATGGGAATAAAGATGCCAAAGGAAAAAAAAAGTTGGTAAGGGTCACATATGTTATAAGGATGAAAGTTTTCAGGTTAGTCTGAGGCAAGACTGTGAGCAAGCAAGCACAGGAGCTGCCAGAGGGAACACGGCACTGGCACAAGCTTGTGAATGTATCACCAGGCTGTTGAAAACAAATGTCTTACACAGACATTTGCTGCCCAGTGAATACAAGAAATGACATGCCTAACTATTTTGAAATGCTGATGCCACAACCGTGCTCCTAAAAAAATAAAACAAACACAGCTGTGTATAAAGTCCCTTCATCCAATACCAATGTTGTCCAGAAGAATGTGATGATGATCACTAATTTTGCAAGTAACTTCCATAGAGTAAGCAGCAATGTCTCTGACGGTAACGTGTTCTGCTATGGACGTACATGGCAGAAACAAAGTATGTAGAGTGACAGGAGGCAGCCTGAAAAAAATCTGAGAGCTTTCAGAAACTAATTTTTTTGCCAAAATGAGCAGTTTAGGAACAGAACGAAAGAGAGCATAAAGATGCTACCTGCTCCTAACAGTTAGATCAGAGGATGCAGGGACTTACTTAAGGAGAAGACGGAATTTATTTCACACAAAGCCTAGTGGCAAATTGATTCCCAAGCAAGAGCAGAATTGTGGAGAAGGCCTGCAGATTTAACTGGATAAACGATCATTTTTTAAAAGTGGGAAGAAAGTTTTCTAAGAGTGAAAAAATTCAATATATTATAAGGCTACATTTTTCAGGTCAGAAAGCAAACGCTAAGGGAAGAATTAACAAACGTCAACCTTGCAAAACAAATTACATACAAAGAAAAAATGTCTTGAGATAAAATATGCGAAAAAGGAGTTGGAACTGTTACAGTTGAGATGAGACTCAAATATAATCATAGTGCCACTCCAAAACAAAATTAACATTTTGCCTTTTCAATAAAAATTATGTGCAGAATGTGGTCAAAAGGCAGAACAAGAGTATGAAAGCAGAAATTACAGTGTATGACATACAGAATTAGGATGTTAAAATGACAAAATTGCCTAGGGCAAGAGGGATGAGAGGCAAAAACCCCAAGCTGATAGACCACCTCCATCAGAAAAATACTAAAGAACTTGCGTATGAGGCTGCCAATCTCATAGCAATGCTTTTCAGATATTGAGAGAGAGGATCACATGACTGAAACCTGTCAGAGGAAACAGAGTCACTGTAACGAAAAATAGGAAGGATGCACAATCCTGACATCTACCGATCCAGGACAGTCTCAACAGCAAAACAGGCAACACAACAAACTTTGAAGGTAATATTATAAGGACTAGTCTATAAAAGGAAAATGAAACAAAATACAATGTGGATTTACATAACATAGTCAACACTAAACTAACCTAGTAACTTTCTTTGGTGTTTCTCTTGCCTAGAAAAAACATTTGTCAATCTCATCTCTCTGGACTTCTACAATGCATCTGGCACCGTGCAACACAACATGTGAAATTATTGCCAGCCTGGGGAAAGGAGTATAGCACAAAAAATGTAAGGTGAGCAAGCAAAGAAGAGAAGTTGTATCGAAAGGGGAAATACTTGTCTAGGGGGAACTAATTAGCGAAGATGCTCAAAGATCATTTTGCTTAAATGTTTTTGATTGTGACATTGGTATTAAGTGGAGAAACACCTACAGAAAACAGCTAGCAATGTGATGAAAGACATCATCAGAAGAGACAGGGTCAGAGTGTCACTCAAGAGGTGGGTTATTGATGGGAGTAAAAAAAAAAAAAAATCAAAACAACAAACGAAGAATAACAAAACAGCATAAAAGACCAAGGAAGCTCCAGAAAAGATGGGTGGACTTACTTCCAGGGAGAAGAGGAAGAATTATTGTTATCAAACAAGGCACAAGAGAAAGTCCATGCAGAATAAAGTATATGATTCTGGTTAAGTGAATTTAAGAAAGATGAATCAAAGCTGGATGGACAGAAGAATTATTACAATGAGTACAGAAAGCAAGCCTGTCTTCTGTGAGGAGATTAAACGGTTGGCTTGGGGAAAACAGGGAAAACAAAAGCCAAAAGGGAACATGACTTTAAATACATCCAAGCTATGTAAAATAAAGGGTGATGCTGGCATAAGAGCAGAGAGCTAGAAATGGACCGCAAAAAGTTTAAAATGGGAAATCAGATATTTTCTAGCCATCTGAAGAATGATGTTCTGGAGAAGTCCTCCAATGACAGCTGGGAAATTACTTTAAAATGGACCTTGACAAATTTATGGTGTCTGCTGGAATTGCCTCAATGGTTCAAGAGTGGGGTTTTTTTGTTGGTTTTTGTTTTGTTTTGTTTTGGTTTTTTTACACCCAGGATCATTCCTAAATAATGCTGGAAATCATTAGGGAAAAACTGAAAACAATTTCCTGCACATTCACATTTCCCAGCAAGCGCCTCTTTCAAGCTCACATTTTCTTTTAGGCTATATGGAGCAATTAAGTATCTGATACAAAATTTAGAAGCACTGAGTACCCAGCATTTCCAATCATTTTAATTTATGAAAAATTTATGAAATTTATGAAAATTTATGTAATTTATGAAAATTAAGCCACAGAAGATTTGAAACTTGAACTAAACAGAAATGGAAAAAAAAAACATTTGGCTTTTAAAGATATTAACAGTTGACTGTTTCCAAAATGCAGCCACATTTTTTACATCAGGCTACTTGGATTTAAGCATGTACCTTCCCACAACCCTGATGTTAACATCAAAAAAGTCCAAAAGATTCCCTAATATTTTTAAATTTATTCTGATTTTGTTATCACTCTCATCAGTTATGTTCTGCCTGTTTAATAACACGTGATTTTTATGCAATATTAATATATCTGGCACAATTTTCCTAAGAAGTGTCTGCTTCCCCGCAGTGTTTACATTGATTTAACTTGAAACACCTAGCTTCTCCTTCATCTGGCTTTCTTAAGTTGTATTAGAATTATCTTAATACATTACAGGTTGTCCTACAGCACAAATTAGTATAATGATTCATCTTTACTGTTACACTTTTGAGCTTAAAAGACTCATTTTCACCTTTTATTATATTTTCATGATGAGACATCTAATATAAATTACAGCCAAATTCTGCAATCAGATTTATTTTCACAAAACTTCCAGTTGCACAAAATCCCTGTGTGCTTTAATGGGTCTCACAGCACGTTTAAGATCTAATTTGATGGCTAAAATTGCAAGCATCAGGTCTAAAATTTACAGGTAATATTTTTTAGAAAGAACAATTTTGTCAAAGTGAGAATTTTTGTAAACTAGACATGAGATTTTGTTGCCCTACGTATTCTGTAACTCTACACAACTTCCTGACTCCTTGTCTTCCCTATGCCCCTTCCAAAATGAGACTATTATTTATTTCTTTATTCGTACGACAGTTTTCCTAGAAAAAGCAACAGAGCTGGATTTCAAATTTATACCTCATTGTTTTTCAGATAACCTTATCACATAACACGAAAGTGCTAGTTTGCTAACAACGTAAACTGTTCCTGGTGTGTCCACGGTGAGAACTTCACCGGAAAGGCTGCGCTCGTCGTTCTTTTCTCACTCTTAACCCCCAGGGAGCACGTCTGAAACCCGAGCACCTTTCGGGGACGACGGCCTCCAGTTTACACCATGACTTTACCATCTTCCTCGCTTCGCTTTCTATTCCGTTCCCCGTCACCCCCGGGCACCCGCTTCCTTTCTCACCGCAGCCGGATGAAGCCGCCCGTACCCCAG